TCTCTCTGTCTCTCTGTCTCTCTCTCTCTATCTCTCTCTTTCCACCCCCCTCTCTCTCTCTGTCTCCCCTGTCTCTCTCTCTCTCTCTCTCTCTCTCTCTCTTTCTCTCTCTCTCTCTCTGTCTGTCTCTCTCTCTCTCTCTCCCTGTCTCTCTCTCCCTGTCTCTCTCTGACTCTCAATCGTACAGCTGTTGATGAATGTCATAAAATGACCCAAGAGAGCAGGAACAGCGATACTCCTGATGGTAGAGTTACACACTGAAGTATTTTCATGCACGTCATCTTTTCGGTATATTGCTGCCGGTACCATTTCCATTATTCATCACCGTATCATTACGCCCAAGTAAAGTTTTGACTTCCCAAATAATAAACGGAGCTCTATGTTGACACATTACGATGTTTCTCCCCCCCCCCCTTCCCCGACACGCACACACAGCCACACATGTGCAGGCCGCCCATCTGACCCCGACATACCGCAAAGTAGACACGTTCGCGTGCCAACAATGCATGTGTTGATATGAAAAAAGGCCGCTGATTGGTCGCAGGCAATCGACCAAGTGAATAATCTAATGGTTCACGATGCAGGTGCAATGGATGGTTTCCGGGAATAAAGTTCGTTCTGAGAGAAAAATTAGCGAAGCCACATTTGCGGGGCTGTTCACCCTGGAAGCGACCTCGTTGAATCCGAGCTCGCTGGTTTAAATGCTCGTTGAATCCGGGTTTCTTTTATTGATTTTAAAGAAGAAAAAAACCGGGGAATCTGTCTCATCTCGTTGAATCCGAGTTTTCGTTGAATCCGAGCTCGTTAAATCCGAGTTCCACAGTATATAGCAATCACATATATGAGCAATTGCCAAAACATGAGACTCTTGAGACTCAGTTGTGCCAAAAAAATTTTCTTACCAATTTGACTCCATTTTCTGTCAGTGTCAGTCACAGATTGACATTTAGTGCTCATATTCCTGGAGTATCAGAGCAAGGAGATGAAAGGTTTTGGAGATATGGGTCTATTGGTCTGACAACCACGGTATTTCTTGTATGTAACAGTGATGACAAAAACAGATAAGCAGCAAGGCAAATTATAGTCTTTAAACTCCATTTGTTTAGTAAACAAAGACTTTATACACTATGAACTCCATTCATAATGGTAATATAAATGACAAGCATTGTAACAATGACGCAGAGCACAGAATGTGTCATCATTGTTATGTACAAGAAAGGATACACATTGGATATTATCATTGACAACACATCACAATAGTGAAAGGCTGTACAAATACAGTTTTCAAAACCTCAGTACCAGAAAAACACACATGCAAAACAATTTAAAACTAATATGAGGCAAAAGCACAAAATCAGTGGGGCTGACAGTGATGACAAACATGACTTGTACATAACAATGATGACACAATGTACTGGAAAAGACAAAGTCATGCCTCCAGAGAGAAATGTGTACTTTAAGAGTAAAAAAAAACCAGGTGAGGTTTCTTTTGCTTTGAAACAGATATCAGGTTGTATCAAAAACAGTGGACAATCACAATTATGCTATTAATTATGACAAACAGTATTTGTACATAACAGTGATGACAAAACATACTAGAAAAAGGTAATTTTTCTTCTAAATGAATCATGAATGTATGAAATATATATTGAAAACTTATTGATTTTAGCATTGATGACAAACATTACTCGTACATAACAATGATGACACAATGAATTGGAAAAAGACATTCATGCCAACAAAGAACAAATGTGTACTTTTGAGTTAGACAGATAAACAAGGACATGCTTGTTTTTTTGTTTGAGTCAAGAGAAGCACAAGACCGAAAAAAATACTTGGTCTTAGGACAATTTAATTTCTTGTACGTCAGTCAGTCTTGTACGGCTGCATGGCGACACCCCAAGTGTCCTAACTAAGCACAAAAGCTAAATCTATTACCACAGAAATGATCCATCTCTTGAAGTTTGTTCACACGTCACACTCTTGTTCCAGGAATCCAATGTAAACACCGCAATTTTTTAATAAAATATTCAACAGGGTAGCATAAAAACATGCAAAACAGTCTTGTATGTCACATTTAAAGATAGATTCTTGTGCGTCACCGAACGCTGACGACAATGACTACTTTCATTTTTCTCTTTCCATCGATGCTTCGGTTGTTCTGGGGAAGTGGGTAAGGGGAAGTCAGTCCAGAAAACAATTATATCCGGGCACTGTCAATGATCCGTTCAAAACAAGAGTGGGCCAAATTTCGCACTTCCGTTACGTTGCGAAATGACGACAATCACGCCGAATGTTAAACAGCCGACCGAAATCGTAGATCTAGGCACCCAATGTTCCTTTCGCACATCACAGCTTTTGAAGTATTGAATAAACGACGAAAAGCAAAAAGATTTAACCAGCTATGGTGATTCTACTGAAAAATAATGCTGTGTTTTGAAACACCCAGCCCATGACGACACGACGAACGCACAAGTAATCCGAATTATTTGTTTATTTGCAAACAATTAAACCGATTTCTTGAGCAAATGAACCTTTCTCGATGACAAATAGCATACGATTAAAGCACATGTAAAAGAAAACACCCCAAAATACTAAATTTTGGACATTCTAGGAAGTTTGCATTGGTGTGCTCAAAATGACAGTCAAGGAATCACTACAAAAACAAACATTTTTAGAACAAAATTCACAAACTCAAGATTTTAAGGCTTACATGGGAACTGAAACTGCTTATGCAGGTTCTACATCCTATATTTGACATGTGTGTAAGTTTTGGAGGAATAAATACTAATGCATCACATTTTATGCACACTAATGTGAGATGTACGTGTTTTTCCCCACGTTTTAGCAATGGCTCATATATATATAAACAGTCGAACCTGCCTTAACAGAAACCTGTATAAAACGGAAACCTGTCTTAACGGAATCTCCCCGTTCCCCCCTTGATATATCCCTCTTTAATTACCTGTATAAAACCGAAACCTGTCCAACGCAGAAACGGAAAAAAAAAATCCCCTCCCTTCCAAGGGTTTCACCTAAGACGGAAAATGCTTTGACCACTCAGCCCTGATTTGAAACAAAACTTTCAAGTTTGGTTCCACCGGCTCACTTAACTATGCCATGCTGCCGGGCGAGGAAGGAGAGTAGGGGTGCAATTTGGGGGTAGATGTTACCTCATTATGTGAGTCGTGAGCGATGCACATGGTCAGGATAGTGTGGGTGTGAAATCTCACGACTGCCCGTGAGAGTGCTCGAGTAGCGACCCACTACGGAAACTTTCCTGGATAGCCAGAAGCCAGAGGTGTGAAATTAGATTGACCAATGCCTGCCGCCCTGATTGTACGGCCATCCAAAAAAAGAGATTCTCGAATCGTTGTTACGTGAAGGCAGTTATGGGTGGCATTGGTTGACTGTACTTGTTACTACAGTGGGTGGGGCTAAGGGTGGAAACAAAGGAGATGTTCAAACGTTTCTGTCTTTAATTGGTCAAACAGTGGTCCTATGAAAGACAAGCACTGGTGGTAATTAGATAAGTAAGACTGACGCATGTCATTATCAGACAAGATAGCAACTGAGAGGTGTGAAGTTTTGATCACTTCTTGCCGATCGGACAAGCGATCCTTGATCCCACCGGCTGGACCTCTGAACCCCCCCCCCCCCCCCTTTTACATTGCCCCCTACATTCCCCTGTCTAAGAAGGAATTTTTTGGGGTTCCCTTGCGATTCCGTCTTACACAGGTTCGACTGTATATATATATAAATATATATAAATATATATGTATGTCTAAACGCTGTGGAATCAGGCGCAAGTCAATTTTGGGGCATTATATTGGTATCGTCTTAAAGCCAGTTCGTTCACCTTGCTTGTGATGAAAAAAAATATCCATTTATCTGATACAAGTCAAGATATATTGGCGATTGAAAGAGGTGGGGGTCGCTTGGTTTTAGAAGTAAAATTAACCCAAAAATTGCTACCAAAATTTGGTAACTCCAATAGCTAAAGAGTCTTTGAAAACTGAAAATGACATATTTTGCGCCTTAAATCAATATTTTTCAGTAAAATTTACATGGAAATATGTTTTCATATAAACATAAAAGAAGTTAAGCCAAAAAACAAAAATTCAATAAAAATTTCCAAACTGGAGGGAAAATGCCTCTTTCTCCGATTTCATTATTTTGACGAGCATCTGATTTCGTCACACTGCTTCACACATGCTTACATTCTGGGGTAGGTTTGACTTCTTTCAGCTCTCTCTGGAATCTTTTCACCATGTGGCTCATCTTTCCCAGTTGTTGCTTCAGTCTGATTTCTTGACAAGATGAGATATTATTGAAAAAAATAGTGTATTATCAACATTCATATGTATCCAGTCTCATACTTACACATGACCATTTTCTGAAATATTATCAAATTACTCAATTTCAGCCCATCGAACTAGGTTTTCTTCTAGAAAATGCACTTGACAAAATAGCATCCTGAATCATAGTCTGAATATAGATATTTTTTAAGGAAACTGTTTTACTTTTGGTTCTTTCAATCTTTAAGAACAAATTTTATTGATATCTCAGATACAGTTTAAAAAGTCTAATCATCTATAGTAGCAGGAATCATTTATTGCCTAATGAAACATAAGAACATGTGAAAGCAAATAAAAGAACCAGTAAAGCAGAGCAGGAGAGTGTCATCGGCCAAACAGGAATAACAATAACAGCCTAAAGAAGGTATAAACGATCTCTCTCTCTCTTCCCCTCCCTCGTTCTCTTCCTCTCCTTTTGTTTGAACCTCTCTTCCTTCTTCTCTATTCCTCTGCCCACCTTCACTCTGTCTCTTTCTCCCTCTTTTTCTCATGTTCTCCCCCCCCCCAGACTGTCCCCTCCCCCATTCATTTCATCTCCCTCTTTCTTCTCCATCCCCCATTCTCTTTCACTCTCTCCCTTACACACAGGAGCCATTTCCCCTGTCTGTCCACCCCTGTCTTGTCTGTCTGATACTTACCCAATTTTAATCTTTAAAAACTGTCCACCCAGCAATCTGTGTTTGTGAATGATTATGTAAACATTAAAGAGTGGGAAAAGTCAGCAGAAATTAGTGAAAGGGTCCACACTCTCACTGCACAGCGGACTCCGTTTAAACTGAACATTGTTAATCCGAAAACAAGGGTAAACCAAAGGAAAATAAAATCCTTAATTTGGTTTTCTTCAATTTGAGCAACCTTTCTGTACTGAAAATCTAGTTTAACCGAAGAAAATCTGGCAATCCAGCAAGTTTTGGTTTAAGGAAGACGCGGATCGGATATCCCAGAGAATATTGATAAAATATTTCAAACTATCAAACTTTTGTTTTTTGCGGAAAAACATTCTTTGACATCTTTTCTATCAGGCCACAATGACGAAACTGTTAAAAAAACACCCTAAATGACCTAAAAGGGCGTTTAAAAAGCGCATATTGCACTAAAAATTCCTGCCTTTTCTGTTTTTCTCAAAATCTGCTTTATGACATATGTGACCTCCTTTGTGCACAGAGTTTTCAAAAACCACTGAAGCTAGAAGCTTCAAATTTGGAATTCAAGTACTTTAAGATCTATTCTGAAGATATATGTGAGGAATTGGGGAAATATTGGTAACTTGTGGAAATATTAAAATTTTCGTAACATATAGGCTACCCCAAAATTATTTCGTAAAACTGACTCAAGTTGGTCCATTGACTTTGGGGCTCACTTTTTTATTTTCGAAGATAGGTCATAATCCTTACATAGATCCACAGTCCAAATAGGTTTGAACCTGTGTGCCAAATGTCAGGCTGTAGTTTTAATATTTACTGTGAAATTCTTCCACACTAAGAACTAGTTTGAAAATCTAAGATGGCGCCACAGAGACCTGTTTTTCAACAAATTCTTCTGTAGTACATCCTTTTTACCTATGAACTTCTTTCACAATTTCATGTAAGTGAATAAAAGTCATCGCTTAAAATTTTTTTACAGGAGTGTACGTTGTATTCAAATATAACCTACCATGACCCTGTGCAAAAAACTTTACTAGTCTAGTGACATAAAATCCCTAACAGAATTAACATTTCTTCTACGCTGCTATCTCATTTTAATACTAGAGTTTTGTTTTATTGCACAAATTACTTTTCTTGAGAACATATTGAAAAAACCCAGAAAAGCAAAGTATCCAACCACTCTTCACAATCATTAATTTTGATTCTTAGACCTACATAGCTAATTTGTAACTTTTAAGAAGAATGAAAAAAAATCTAAAAGGCCAAACAATGCTCAGTTCCTGATCCATAATAACACTTACTTTCCGTTTTTCGCTCTTCCACCATTTTTGCATCTTCTTCGTCCAAACAAGCAAAATCTTGTCGAAAGTCTGATCTTTTACTGAAGATATGAGTCGTTCTTTCTCGTTCAAGGGCTTGGATTCTGTGGTGGAAAACAACCTTGTTCGCTTGTAAAGCTAGAAAATAAGTGCAAGCTTACATGCACATATGCACACACACACACACACACACACACACACACACACACACACACACACACACACACACACACACACACACACACACACAGAGCCCAGCAATAACGCACGTATCAAGGTGAAGAAATTGAAGGTGCTAATTGACCTTTGGTCTAAAAATGTCCACATAAACAAGTCTGAGCACAAACAAATTTTTCTTTCTAAAAATCAAACAGGTTTCACATGATATGAGCTTAAGTGTATACATTTCTTTTAGAGCTGGGTCGCAAGCGCGAGAACAGAACTGAATCGACACTCTTCCCTGCGGAATGCGATTCGCGATTCACTGCAGCGGAACCTGGAACACAGAACAGTATCGCCTTCCGATTCAGTCCCCTGTCGCAGCTTGTTTGCAGCTCTATCTGATCTGTAGGCCTAGTGCTACTCGTATGTTGCGAGGGCAAGAACGGAACATGGAACAGAACACTTAGCACGGCTCCCCTTATTTTTCAAAGGTTGGTATAGTCCAACCCCTATTAAAACAAAATGAACGGGTTCTAACCAATAGACAGAAGGAATTTTATAGAGCCATTGTTTTAGCGAATCATGGGGTGGGGGGTGGGGGGTGTGAATTTATGGGATCGCTAATTGAGGTCAGTAGAGCAGCGCAACAAAGGGTGGGGGGCGGAGAGGATGGCGCGGTAACAAGAGTGGGACTCGCGAAGTGGCGTTTTGTTTGTTTTTGTAAAGTGTTTTACGGCGCTCGCAACTGCATAAGGTCAAATGAGCACCCGGGACACACCTAATATTTTTCAGTTGGTAGGAAATTTTGAATTTTGCCTGGGTGGCGGCCGAAGCCTACTCTTATCGATTTTAGACCAGCAAGGGATCTTTAACAAGCGCAACTTGCACACGGGCCCTCCTAGATTTTTCGCTCTTGTGCGAGAAGTCTAGGTGTAGATCTTTCCTACCAGAAGATCAGGGGTGTAGCTGAAAGACAGCAGTAAGGAGGAGCCAAGGAGCAGCAGTAGAAAGACTGCAGAAAGAGTCAGGAGCCCAGAGGAGGGGGCAAAGGAGGTGAGGGGGTGGGGGCAGAAAGTGGAAATGAAAGCAGACAACAGAACATTGTTAGAGAGCAGGAAAGGAGGTGAAAGGGGACAATTTTAGAGAAGAAAATTTTTCGGTCGCTAAACGGATTCGAACCCGGGACCTTTGAATGAGAGGCCAACACCTTAATTTCTAGGCCACGAGAGCCCCCGAAGTGACGTTGATATGACACTGTTCCGTTTCAAAAACAACGAGTCCGAGGCTTAGAGTTCCACGAGTGCTCGCGTTAGACTCGCGATTCTTTGAAGCCGACTGAATCGCGAATTGCCACTCTCAGATTTCGTGAGCAGGATCCAGCTCTAATTTCTTACTTAAATGGGTTTTTTTCAAGCCTCAACAGGTGTCACAGATATAAACAACTATAGTCATTGGCCAGACATACTTCATTCTCACACCCTAATCCTTATCAAGCCATCATCTGTGTCAAACCATAGGAAAAATAACTCAAGGCCCCTTTCTTTTCAAGGGGAATCCTGCCCTGAAATCCTAAAGTCTAAATCACAGCCTTTCCATACAAGTGAAAATTTACTTGCTCGGATCACCCCACTGAAGGTACAATTTAATTCAACAGAATTCCGGCAAACTAGAAATAGAAAGGCAGAACAGCAAGGAAGTAAGGAAAAAAAAAGTCTGACATGAAGTTGAAGAATTTTGTGCAACTGATTTGAAAGAGGATGGGTAAACAGGGAAAAAAGAGTGGCATATGAGCTTTACTGGAAAAATAATCAAACAAGTGGCTCATCAGCATTCAACAGGCCTCGTACATTATCTGTTAAATTAGAAAAAAGACATTGTCAAAATTGTCCAAGACAGCTACCGTTTGTCAAGGAGGAAAGTGATTATCTTAAGACAGGCAGATGTCTTTCAAAAACAGTGCCATTATAAAATAGACAAAACATGATGTGAAGGAAAAGGGAAATGATCGTATGCAGGTGATTGTCTTGGACAGGTGGCCAATAGAATTAGAGCAGGTTCGATTGTATAAATTTTGGTCAACATAAAAATATAATAGTCATTACAAAGCCATCCCTTTTTTATACATTCTCTAATGCACAAATAATAATATCAAGAAGACTCGCTATAAAACTCTGCTCCACAACAAAAGCCATCAGTCCATTTTTTAGAACACCTACTTTCATTCTCCTGAAAATTGCAGTCAGACCAGCTGACTTTGAAAAAGCAATAATATCAGTCTCTTGATCTGATGACCACAGACATCAAGCAGTAAACATTCAGATTACAGGCATCCAAAGATTCATAGGCCCTATTATTTTATTATATATATTTTTTAATAATGCTTCTGGGCTTCTTGATTAGGTTAATAAATAGATCACTACGTTATAAAAAGGTTTCATTCAAAATTCCTTCGTAAAGTCGAGTTTATTAGAGGGGGCATCGGGCATTATATTATATCATCCACAGCAAGCAAAATTTGATTTCGTCAGCACTCACAGCAAATGACAGGTTAAAAAGCCTCCAAACGGACCTTTTCATGAACAAAAAAGAAGATAGAATGCATGCACAAATATATAATAATTATTAT